CAGCAGGATTGAAGAGAAACAACTGGAAAAGCTGACACAATACAAGGATTTAAAGATCAAACTGCGAAGACTCCGGCACAAGCCAGTCAAGGTGGTCCCAGGGGTGATTGGCACACAGGGTGCAGTGCCTAAAGACTTTGGCCTGCACTTAAGCACAATCAGTGCTGAAAAAATCATCATCTGTCAGCTGCAAAAGGCCACCCTACTGGGATCTGCACGCATTGTTCACCGATATATCACACAGTCCTAGACACTTGGACGTGTCCAACATGTGATCCAATACAACAGCCAGAAGAGTGATCTTGTTTGCTGTGTACTAATCTTGTGTTTCAAATAATTACCCTCACCATTAAATGATGTGGGTAATAAATACAATAAACGCAGCACCATAAAATACATACAATGCACATGTGAAAACACATTACCATAAAATACATATATTAAAATATGTGGAACAAAGATTGAAATACAGTAGTAATAGGATTTGAAATTGACCAGGTATATAATTGTATTTATATGCTACTTTTCCTCTTAGAAGCGGCTCCAAGGCCCAGGCGGGATCCCTTCCTGCTCAAGAGCATTAAATGGTGTCTCTTCCCTCCTTTAAGGAGATGTCCTCAGGAGGCCGGACGATTACATAGCCTCCAGAATTAAAAATAGGCCGTTTCCTCCTTGTCCCGAGGATCAGCAGCAAAGCTCTGGCTGCTGGACCTCACGCTGCGGGATCAAAGATCAAATCAGGGGTCAAATCCTGCCTTCTTTGTGCCCTGAGAGGCACTGGAGGACATTCAATGGGACAAAAGCAATCCCACAATAATAATAATAATAATAATAATAATAATAATAATAATAATAATAATAATAAATGAAAAAATAATATCTGTCAACTGCAAAAGGCCACCTTACTTGGATCTGCACGCATCATTCGAAAATACATCACACAGTCCTAGACGCTTGGGAAGTGTTCGACTTGTGATTTTGTGATACGAAATCCAGCATAAAGATCTCATTTGCTGTGACATACTGTGTTTTTGTGTCAGTAAAATAATAATAATAATAATAATAATAATAATAATTATTATTATTATTATTATTATTATTATTATTATTATTATTTTGTAAAGACTCTCGCACTGTGATCTCAGTGGTGATTGGCACACTGGGTGCAGTGCCTAAAGATCTTGGCCTACACTTAAAAACAATCAGTGCTGACAAAATTACCATCTGTCAGCTGCAAAAGGCCACCCTACTCGGTCTGCATGCATTATTCGCTGATACATCACACAGTCCTAGACACTTGGGAAGGGTCCTACGTGTGATCCAGTACAACAGCCATCAGAGTGATCTTGTTGTGTTTCTAATAATATAAATGTTTACCTGTTAGGTAAAGGTAAATGTTTTCCCTGACATTAAGTCCAGTTGTGTCCGACTCCGGGGGGTTGGTGCTCATCCCAATTTCTAAGCCGAAGAGCTGGCGTTGTCTGTAGACACCTCCAAGGTCATGTGGCCGGCATGACTGCATGGAGCACTGTTCCCTTCCTGCCGGAGAAGTACCTATTGATCTACTCACATTTGCATGTTTTCAAACTGCTAGGTTAGCAGAAGCTGGGGTTAACAGCGGGAGCTCACGCCGCTCCACGGATTCGAACCTAGGACCTTTTGATCAGCAAGTTCAGCGGCTCGGTGCTTTAACCCACTGTGGCACCGGGGGTTTACCTGTTACCCGGCTTGATATTGGCAACACCTAGTTCATATAAACCAGTGGTTCTCAACCTGGGGGTTGGGACCCCTGAGGGGGTCACCAAGGGCTGTGAGAGGGGTCGCCAAAGCCCGTCAGGAAACACAGTATTTTCTGTTGGTCATGGGGGTTCTGTATAAGAAGTTTGGCCCAATTCTATACTTGGTAGGGTTCAGAATGCTCTTTAATTGAAGGTGAACTATAAATCCCACAACTGCAACTCCAAAATGCCAAGGTATATTTCCCCAAACTCCACCAGTGTTCACATTTGGACATATTGAGTATTTGTGCCAAGTTTGGTCCAGATCCACCATTGTTTGAGTCCACAGTGCTGTCTGGAGGTGAACTACAACTCCAAACTCAAGGTCAATGCCCACCAAACCCTTCCAGTGTTTTCTGTTGGCCATGGGAGTTTTGTGTGCCAACAGGGGCGGCTCAACCATTACGCAAAGTAATCATTTGCAGTATAGTTGATTTTGCCCAGGGGTGCTCTTGAGGCGCTCTTGGGGGAAAATAGACCTTGACATATGCGAGTTGTAGTTACTGGGATGTATAGTTCACCTACAATCAAAGAGCATTCTGAACTCCACCAATGATGGAACTGAACCAAATATGGCACACAGAATTCCCACGACAAACAGAAAATATATATCAGTGATTGGTGGGGGGGGGGGGGGGGGGCGGCAAATTACTGTTTGCTTACCGTTGAAAATTACCTAGAACTGCAGTATGCTGATGACAACGTCGTCTGTACGCATTCAGAAGAAGATCTACAAGCCACTCTCAACACCTTTGCAGAAGCATATGAGAAGCTCGGCTTGTCATTGAACATTGAAAAAACCAAGGTGCTTTTCCAGCAGGCACCAGCCAACCCCTCTCCAATGCCAGTGATACAGCTTAATGGTGTAACATTAGAAAATGTTGATCATTTCTGCTACCTTGGCAGCCACCTCTCCACCAAAGTCAACATCGACACCGAAATACAACATCGCCTGAGCTCTGCAAGCGCAGCATTTTTCCGAATGAAGCAGAGAGTGTTTGAGGACTGGGACATCCGTAAGGATACCAAGGTGCTTGTTTATAAAGCTATTGTTCTCCCAACCCTGCTCTATGCCTGTGAGACGTGGACTGTCTACCGACGTCACATGCAACTCCCCGAACGATTCCATCAGCGCTGCCTCCGGAAAATCCTGCAAATCTCTTTGGAAGACAAGCGGACAAACGTCAGCATGCTGGAAGAAGCAAAGACCACCAGCATTGAAGCGATGGTCCTCCGCCATCAACTCCGCTGGACCGGCCATGTTGTCCGGATGCCCGACCACCGTCTCCCAAAGCAGTTGCCCTACTCCAAACTCAAGAATGGAAAACGGAATGCTGGAGGACAGGAAAAGAGATTGAAAGATGGGTTCAAAGACAACCTTAAAAACTCTGGCATAGACACTGAGAACTGGGAAGCCCTGGCCCTTGAGCGCTCCAGCTGGAGGTCAGCTGTGACCAGCAGTGCTGCAGAATTTGAGGAGGCACGAGTGGAGGGTGAAAAAGAGAAACGTGCCAAGAGAAAGGTGTGTCAAGCCAACCCCGGCCGAGACCGCCTTCCACCTGGAAACCAATGCCCTCACTGCGGAAGAAGATGCAGATCAAGAATAGGGGTCCACAGCCACATACGGACCCACAAGAATATTGGAAGACAATCATCCTCGGAAAGCGAGTGATCGCCTAAGTAAGTAAGTAAGTAAGCTAAGTTTGGTTCAATTCCATTATTGTTGGAGTTTGTAGATTGTAGGTGAACTATAAATCCCAACAACTCGAACTCCCAAATAACAAAATCAATCAATTCCCCCTCCTCCCAATCCCACCACTATTCAAATTTGGGCATGTCGGATATTTGTGCCAAATTGGATCCAATGAAAAAAACATCCTGCTTATCAGATATTTGCATTACCATTCATAACAGGAGCAAAATTACAGTTATGAAGTAGCAAAATAACGTTATGGTTGGGGGTCACCACAACATGAGGAACTGTATTAAGGGGTCGCAGCATTAGGAAGGTGGAGAAACACTGATATAAACAGATTAAACGTATTGTCGAAGGCTTTCATGGCTGGAATCACTAGGTTCTTGTGGGTTTTTTCGGGCTATAGGGCCATGTTCTAGAGGCATTTCTCCTGACGTTTCGCCTGCATCTATGGCAAGCATCCTCAGAGGTAGTGAGGTCTGTTGGAACTAGAAAATGGGTTTATATATCTGTGGAGTGACCAGGGTGGGACAAAAAACTCTTGTCTGCTGGAGCTAGGTGTGAATGTTTCAACTGACCGCCTTCATTAGCATTTGAAGGCCTGGCTGAGCCTGGGAAAATCTTTTGTTGAGAGGTGTTAAGATGTGCCCGCGCCCCTTTACCTAGCCAGGCCCCGCCTCTTTCCTCTTGCTCCTCCCATTCTTAATTAGCCCCTCCCATCTATTGTCCTCCTCTAGCATTACAGCCAATGAGACTCCTTCCTCTTTTCCCTCCCTTGTCTTCTCCAGGAGACCACGCCCCTTTCTTATCGCCCCGCCTCTCCATTGGTACCCAAAGGGCGCTGTGGGTGAGGCTCCTCCCTCTTTCTCACCCCGCCTCCTTTCCCTCCCAGCCAATGGGTTTCCTCCATAGGTGCCCCGCCCCTTTCCTGCTATCCCTTTTTTCGGTTGCCTCCCCTTCCAACTCATGTCCCGCCTCTCCCTTCCTTAGCACCCAATAGGACTCTGTGGCTGCGGCTCCTCCCCTTTTCTGTTCCCTCCCTTCCAACGCGGGCTTTGGGGTAGGCCCCGCCTCTCCCTTCATTGGCACCCAATGGAGGCTGTGGCTCAGGCCCCGCCCCTTTATGGTTACCTCATTTGACTAGGCCCCGCCTCTCCCTTACTTGGCACCAATGGGACTTTGTAGCGGAGGCCCCGCCCCTTTTCTTTCCCCTCCCCTCCAACCGGGAATTTAACTATGCCCCGCCTCTCTCTTCCTTGTCGTCCAATGGGACGGTGTGGATGAGGCCCCGCCCCTTTTCTCAGCCTTAGTTCCCTCCTCCTCCCGCCTCTCCCTCACTTGGGACTTTGTAGTGGAGGCCCCGCCCCTTTTCGTTCCCCTCTCCTCCAACTTTTAACTATGCCCCGCCTCTCTTTTCCTTGACACCCAATGGGACGCTGCGGTTAAGGCCCCTCCCCTTTTCTCAGCCTGAGAGGCCACGCCTCTTTTGCCTCGCATCCAATGGGGCCCCTCCGTGGAGGCCCCTCCCCTTTCTCCTGAGAGACGCCGGCTCAGTCTGAGTCGAGCGACGGCGGGAGAAGGACGCGTGAGGCTCGGCTCCCCCGATGGCGGTGTGGACGCGGGCGTGCAAGGCCGGCCTGGTGGAGGTGCTGCTCCGCGAGCGCTGCTGGGTGCGGGCGCTGGCCGAGCTGAGCGGCGAGGCCTTGATCCTCAGCTCGGAGCCGGAGCCTCCGCTGAACGGCCTCCCGAACGGCTCCGAGTGGGGCAGCCCCGGAGTTGGGCGGCGCAGCGAGGCCGGGTCCAGCCCTCCGGAGCTGCGAGGGGCCGCCTCGGCTTCTCCGCCCTCCTCGCCGGGCTCCCCGCCGCTCCTGCCTTCTCCGCCGCCGGGGGTGCGCCGCGTGCGGGTGGTCAAGGCCGAGGCCGGCGGGCTGGGCATCAGCATCAAGGGCGGGCGCGAGAACCGCATGCCCGTGCTCATCTCGCGCATCTTCCCCGGGCTGGCGGCCGAGCGGAGCGGAGCCCTGCGCCTCGGGGACGCCATCCTCTCCGTCAACGGCGTCGACCTCCGGGAGGCCACCCACGACCAGGCCGTGCAGGCCCTCAAGCGCGCCGGGAGGGAGGTCCTCCTCGAAGGTGAGCCAACTTGGGCCTTCCCTTCGCCGGTTTGGGACTTCAGCGCCCACCATTCCTAACCAAACCCTCCCGACAGATGGCCAGCCAAACAGAGATGTCACTGAGATAGATAGAGAGGGGGGAGATGCTTATATCATAGAGGCACCCCAAAGGCCATCCAGTCCAGCCCACTTTTTCTGCCAGGCATAATCCAAACCCTCCCGACAGATGGCCATCCAGCCAAAGATGTCGTTGATATCCCCCAAGGGTCATCCAGTCCAAGCCCATTCTACTCTATAGGAAGACACCATACAAACCCTCCCGACAGATGGCCATCCAGCCAAAGATGTCATTGATATCCCCCAAGGGGCATCCAGTCCAAACCCATTCTTCTATATTGGAAGACACTATACAAACCCTCCTGACAGATGGCCATCCAGCCAAAGATGTCATTGATATCTCCCAAGGGGCATCCAGTCCAAACCCATTCTTCTATATTGGAAGACACTATACAAACCCTCCCGACAGATGGCCATCCAGCCAAAGATGTCATTGATATCCCCCAAGGGGCATCCAGTCCAAACCCATTCTCCTATATTGGAAGACACCATACAAACCCTCCCGACAGATGGCCATCCAGCCAAAGATGTGATACACACATATCACAATAACATCTTTGGCTGGATGGCCATCTGTTTGGAGAGTTTGTATGGTGTCTTCCAATATAGGAGAATGGGTTTGGACTGGATGCCCCTTGAGGGATATCAATGACATCTTTGGCTGGATGGCCATCTGTCGGAAGGGTTTGAATGATGCCTGGCAGAAAAAAAAGTGGGCTGGACTGGATGGCCTTTGGGGGTGCCTTTCCAACTCCAGCCAAAAATGATGTTGTGATATGTATGTGTGTGTGTATCCCCCAAGGGTCATCCAGTCCAAGCCCATTCTGCTCTATAGAAAGACACCATCCAAACCTTCCTGATAGATGGTCATCCAGCCAAAGATATCTCTCTCTCTCTCTCTCTCTCTCTCTCTATATATATATATATATATATATATATATATATATATATGTATATCTCCCAAGAGTCATCAAGTCCAAACCCATGCTGCTCTATAGGAAGACACCATTCAAACCCTCTCAGCAGTTGGCCATCCAGCCAAAGATGATATTGTGATATATATATCCCCCCAGGGGTCATCCAGTCCAAGCCCATTCCGCTGTATAGGAAGACACCATTCACCCCCCCCCCCCCCAATAGACAGCCATCCAACCATAAGAGGGCCGTAGATTTGATTGCAAAAGAGGGGGGGGGGGGGCTAAAACAGGCCTGGGCCAACTTCGGCCCTCCAGGTGTTTGGACTAAAACTCCTGGAGGGCCCAAGTTGGCCCAGGCCTGTGCTAGATATATCCTCAAATCCTAGGGTCGGGAAGGGCCCCCAAAGGCCACCCATTCCAATCCCCAAAAGTAGGTAGAGAGATAGGTGCAGATAGAGTCTGAAGATACCACAAGGACTAGGCAATTCAACTCCCCGAGGGCCCTTCCACACAACCATATATCCCAACATATCAAGGCAGAAAATCCCACAATATCTTCTTTGAACTGGGTTATCTGAATCCACATGTATGGCCCTCCTAACTTTGGCTGAATGGTCATCTGTTGAGAGGGTTTGGATGGTGTCCTCTCCACCCATTCCAACCCCCCAAAAATAGGTCGGTAGGTAAATAGATAGATGGATGCATAGAGTCCGGAGACATCCCAAGGACTATTCAATTCAACTCCCTAAGACAGGCAGGAGGAATCCTAATCACATCCTGCCCTAAAGTAGATCGATACATGCATAGGGTCGGAAGAGACCCATCCAAGGGCCATCCAGCCCAGACCACTTCTTCCTGCCAGGGAGGAGGGCACAATCCAAGCCCTCCTGACAGATAGCCATCCAACCAAAGGTGTGACTGAAAGAGAGAGAGAGAGCAATGCTTACATTCTAGAATTCTTTAGTTCTAAAAGCCATCCAGTCCATTCAATCTCCCCAACAGTCGGCAATTCAGCCAAAGATAGATGGCCATGGATGGATGGATAGAAAGAATCCTAGTCAGAAGAGACTCCAATCCCCTAAAGCAGATAGGTGTTAAATGGGTAGGTGGGTAGATGCATAGAATCAGAGGAGACCCTTCCAAGGGCCATCCAGCCCAACACCTTTCTGCCAAGCAGGAAGACACCATTCAAGCCTTCCCAACAGGTGGCCATCCAGTTTCATAGACATTAGCAGCTTTATGGAGAAATAGTGCTATAGCAGACACAGGCAAACTTTAGTTCCCCAGGCATTTTGGACTTCAAGTCCCACAATTCATAACAGTCGATAGGCTATAAGGAATTGTGGGAGTTGAAGTCCAAAACACCTGAAGGGCTGAAGTTGGTCCATGCCTGGGATATAGCATTAAAGACTCCTAGAGTCAGAAGGGACCCCCAAAGAGCCATCTAGTCCGACCCTCTTCTGCCAGAAAGAAAATAAATATACTGTAATCCCAGTAAAGTAAAGATTGACAAAAACAAACTGGTATTATTTTTAAAATATATTAAATAACTAGCATGTTGCTCTGGCCAACCGTCTCTCCTCCTTTCTTTCTCTCCCTTCCTTCCTTCCCTCTTTCCTTCTTTCCTTCACTTTTTTTCTTTCATTCTCTCCTTCCTTCCTTCTCTTCCTCTCTCTTTCCTTCCCCCCTTTTCTTTCTGTTCCCCTTTCTCCCCTTTCTTCCTTCTCTACCTTTTCTTGGACTGCAACTCCCAACAGTCCTCTTGATCAATCTACCTACCTATCTCTAACTATCGATCTTATCTATCTGGAGGATTGCTGAGAGTTGCAGTCCAGGAATAGGAAATTGGAAATATGCCGGGATTGGGATGCTCTCAAAGAAATCCAAGGAGAAGAAAGCTTGCAGCTTGGAAACAGTGCACTTGGATCATCCTCCTCTCCTAAAGGGCCTGGTCTAGGGGATGCTGGGAGCTGTAGTCCGGAAGAGAGTGTGGATATGCTATTGTGTGTTTTGTTTGCCAAGGGGAGTCATTTTGTGCATGCATTGTAGCATCATTTTGTTGGGTTTTTTTTTTTTTTTTTTGCTTTTTAAGTCCATTCCACTGTGTTTTATGAGTGATGGGTGATGGTCACTTCTTGGCCTGACAGGTGTCTTGTGTCCAAATTTTGTGTCAATTCATCCAGTGGTTTTTGACTTATGTTAATCCCACAAACGAATGTTACATTTTTATTTATATAGACTAGCCGTCCCCTGCCACACGTTGCTGTGGCCTAGTCTGGTGATCTTGAAAATAAAGTAATGAGAAAGTGTCGTTTCTAATATATGCAATGTCTTGATACTTGTGGATAAACAGTACTTCTTTTTGTTTCTTTGTAAGTGTTGATGTGGAGATTGTCTGGTTTGTCTACTCTGGAACATGCAACATATTATTGTCCTTCTTTAGGGGTCTCTTTCAAATCTATGAAACTATATCTCTCTTTGTGTGAATCATATATATATCTATATCTATGGCTGGATGGCTCTTTGTCAGGAGGGCTTTGATTACGTTTTCTTGCCCTGGTGAAGAGGTTTGGACTGGATGGCCTTAAGTATTTTCCGTTGGTCATGGGGGTTCTATGTGGGAAATTTGTCCCAATTCTGTCGTTCGTGGGGTTCAGAATGCTCTTTCATTGTTGGTGAACTATAAATCTAAGTATCTACAACTCCCAAATGTCAAGGTCTATTTCCCCCAAACTCCATCTGTGTTCATATTTGGGCATTTTGAGTATCAGTGCCAAGTTTGGTCCAGATCCATCATTGTTTGAGTCCGCAGTGCTCTCTGGCTGTAGGTGAACTACAACTCCCAAACTCAAGGTCAATGCCCACCAAACCCTTCTAGTGTTTTCTGTTGGTCATGGGAGTGCTGTGTGCCACGTTTGGTTCAATTCCATCATTGGTGGAGTTCAGAATGCTTTTTGATTGTAAGTAAACTTTAAATCCCAGCAACTACAACTCCCAAAGGACAAGATCAATTTTTTGAGTGATGGTCACTCCTTGGATGAGTAGGTGTCTTGTGTCCAAATTTGGCGGCAATTCGTCCAGTGGTTTCTGAGTTATGTTAATCCCACAAACTAACGTTACATTTTTATTTATATAGATGGTCACTTGTTGGCCTGACGGGTGTATTGTGTCCAAATTTTGTTTTTTTCACCCCCATCAATTTGTCCAGTGGTTTTTGACTTATGTTAATTCCACAAACCAACATTACATTTTTATTTATATAGATGGTCACTTGTTGGCCTGACAGGTGTATTGTGTCCAAATTTTGTGTCAATTTTTCCAGTGGTTTTTGACTTATGTTAATCCCACAAACGAGTATTATATTTTTATTTATATAGATGGTATAATAACTTTGCAATGCAAGGATAAGAAGGCCTAAACCTGGCCACCAAAGCCTGGCTCCAGAAGGATTCCTTCTTTCCCAGTTTGGTTGTAGTCCAGGCTGTATTTGGAGACTTCCAAAGTGCTGAAAGTCTTCCAGGAGGTGGGACTCAGGGCTTGAGAAGGCCATGACTGTCACTTCCCAGAAACCTCTAGAGCAGGAGGCCCAACTGGCTTCATTGCCCTCTTCAGAGGAGCTTGATGGAGTTGAAAAAATAGATAAATAAGCAATCCTTGTGTATGTCCCTGATTTTTCTAGGGAAGTCATGGACTTTTGCATGATGCATTTTGGAAGTGTTTTGATATTCCTTGCAGAGGAGCAAAGAGTCCCTGGATCAAAACGTTGGAGTTTAAGGCCCCCTTTTCTAGCCAAGGAACCTGAGCCCCCTTGCTGCTGCTCCTTTCTTTACCCTTTCCTTTCCGCTGGCAAACGGAGTGAAAAAGCTATTTCCCGGCTGGAAAAGTATTTTGTGTTGGGAGGCACCTCCTTGGTGTCTTTCTGGGACCCAGCCAAGGCACTCTCCCTTTCGTGGGAGCCGTGTGAACACCAACTAACCATCCCGCT